CTTTTACAACTCTAAGGGCTTTTGTACTTCTTATTTTAAGGAAAACAGTTTCTTTTACAGCACCTACATAGAGGCTCATTTTAAAGTTTACATATTCTCTTGRCTTACCTTAGGATAGATGAAGTTGGCAGCTGTACACTGAGTGAGTTAAGGGCAGTAAAAAACCCCACAACTTATGCCATTCATTATTCACTGAACAGTTATCACCCACCAGTAAATGGGCAAACTGGCAGGAATGATGACACTAATTCCTTACCAGCCTTCGGGAGATGAAAGGAGCACTCGCACTCCCCTGCTCCTCGAAGTAAAGCTAAAATCTTTTGGTGCTTTCTCTTATTATGAGAAACACTGTTAAGAGCTGCAAATGACTCCACTTAAGACTACCCAGGGAAAAAAAAAAACGATGGCATGATGCCCACTGATTTGTATGAATGGGAGAAGAACAAAAGCTGGCAAAGGTCACTTTCTGGTATCACACACTTAAAATACTGGCACAACTGACAGAAACCCCTGGCATACAGACCTCAAGAACTTCAGTTCTTGTACATCTGCTGGGCCCACTTTTTCCAACCTGYGAACTTAAAGCTTTACAGTCTTTAACTATGAATAAAATCTTCAGAAATATCTCTAGAATAACAGGTATCATCCCAGACTTCTGGAAAAAAGCAGATTTTTAATATGCAAAAATGAATTTGGAAGTTGGGACTTAAAAGCATTTACTTTTGTAATGCATGAATACAGGGGGAGAGTGGAGTTTAACTTTTTCTCTCTAAATGTGCTCCCGCTGCTAACCATGCCTCCTCCAGGAGAACTCAAAATGTTATAGTGCATTTAATACTGCAGAACAGCTCAGCTYTTAAGTCCAGCCCTGTAGATCAAGATGATTACAAACTTCAGCCTTTCTTAAAGAGCTACCTTATGTTTTAACACTTCCATTACTCCTGTTCCAATTGACCACATCAACGCCATCATCAAAGAAAAAAAMCATTTCAATCTAGTAATGAACAAGGTTTTCATGTATCTCTTACAGAAGAAAACAATTTTGATGCACAAATCACCAGGATGGTTACTCAGCTCTTTCCAGTGTTAGTAATTTCTGCACACTTCCAATTGATTTGAATTGCTCAGGAAAATTAGCAGAAAGAGAAATTCTCCTCCCATGCCAGACCCATGAAGAGGCATGGGTGGGTCTGAAGTGGTCAGTCAGGACTAGCCAGTGTTCCAGTTCTGTACTTATACAGCTTTTAAAACTGCAAGAAACAGGAGAGCACATGAGATTACTCAGGCTGGAAAGTAAACACAACCTTTAACCCAAGGTCCTGCTTCCATTCATTTATACCTCTGCCAAAATCCCAGATCTGAGGGGTTTTCTATGCTACCTGTCTCCCTGTCCTCTGAGTTTGTTCACATTGTTACATMATGCTTTGCAATTTTAAATCTGGCATAAGGAGATCACTTGTATAATTTCATTGCTACTGGCTGAACTTTATACATTTCCTGTCATGAATCACTGAGCAACAAATGTTTGTATGACCACTTTCCCTCACATAGCATGCAGTCTAATCAGTGAGGTCAATAAACATGCCAATCTTTCAGGTCTCACGATGTTTTAAAAAAAGACATGGATTAGAGTCACAGCCACAAAAATGCTCCAAATGAATTATTTTAGCCATTAAAATAGAGAATTACATTTCTGACTGCGAAGTACTATAGAAGTTGATTGTGTCAAAATGTTCTTCAGAACAATATGTTCCATTGAAGTTCCAAGACATCAAGTCATACTCTAAGGTAAAGTATCTGCTTACTGTGTCCTCCAGGAAATGCATGCAGCACATGTTTAAGTAGCAGCCACAAAAACAACTTGAATGCTGTCATTTCTTAAAGTGCTTTGGTTTTGATGTTATGGTCTTCCATGTTTTTTAATGTGACACACCTTTGAGCAACTTGATAGTTCAGCAGTTAAGATACAGGACCTCTATTGCTACTGTATTCCTAAATACCTAYGTTTATTGTTCCATTCTTTTTCTTTTAGTGGCATCAAAGTATAAATGTTGAAAAATGTACAATTAATTAAACATACCTTTCTTTTGTGCTTTACAAGAATCCTTTGAAGTTCCCACTCAAGAACATAAGGAATATTTACACACTCAGTGTCCCGGCCAGCTGTCACCCTAACAGACCAGCTTCCTTTAGGCTATGGTGCTTATTAATTTGGGTCTAATACTCACTTACAAGGGAACTACCATCATAAATTATTCCCCACTTCCATTATCAACTTGAAACAGAAATAGAATCCATGAGATTAAGAGTGTACTTTAGTTGCGAACCTTTACCAATACACTAGGGAGTAGACCTTTGAACTTGTGGCTAATTACTGATTGGTATGCTSGTTCTGCATGTAAAAATCACTGTTACTTTGGCATGGACAGTGACAGCTCCAATTAATAGATAGAAAAACAATTCTTGGCAAGAGAAAGCAAAACATGGCCAAACATGCTAATGTAGCAGTCTGTTCTTCAATTCCCAAGTCTGGACCAAGTAAATATTTTTAAGCCTCTATGAGGTAAAAAGATGAATGAAAAATAAAATATGAAAAATGCAGTATTTGCAGCCACTGAGGTTCCCAACTTTTTTTAAAATTATGCTTTTAAGGAGAAGCAGCTGATCTACCCTGCTCCTTGTGTTTGCAAATGCAACAGAAAGATGCAAAGTAATCCTTGTTCTATAAGTTAGTGAACTATCTCTCATGATAGAGGTAATAAATGGAATGGCTCTAGCACACAACATCTGAAGACAAAATACATGTCAAAGACTAGCATTGGCTTGATGCAGGAGTTACTCCATTTATGAAACWAACGTACTCCTTCATCAGCCCTACAAAGTTTTAAACATAAAACATAAACAAGATCAATATTTTCCATTCACATGCAGATGAAACTAAATACAAATTTTTAAAATGTGAACAGTGCAATTGTTTAGAGCAAARGGAGAAAAATTCTGAAGAATAAAAAAAAATTCTGCATTAGAACGTGTCTTGGATTGATGTTGTGCCAATCCTGTATTSCTATACTCTGTCAGCTTGTATGCCCAAAAGGTGYCTGTGTGTTTAAACCYGACCCGGAAGAACGGGCAGGAGCCGCGTGGGCMRTTTAAAAGCCRGGGCTGCCGTGTAGCCAAGGGCTTTTTGAGCTCAGCTCAGCGCTTCGGGAGGTCTGCTTGCTATGTGCAGCAGAGTTACACTGTTGCCATTTAGCTAGCTTGAGTTTGTTAGCTTGGGCAAACAGTTTTCTGAGGACTGCCACTCCTCTGCGGCTGCTGTGATTTTTCCTTCGGGAGCAATTCAGCAGCCGGTGGAGACAAGCCGCGCTGCTCCATCTTCTCCCGGCCTCTGGAAGAAGCCACGCCGGTGGCAGAAAAACACACCAAGCCCTCTGTTTCATCCACAGTGAGGAAAGGACTATAATCAGTTTTTTCCACTGTTGCCAGAGCGGTCACATAGACTTTTTTTTTTTTTTTTCGGGGGACGGGAGCCACCATCTTTTCTCCGCACCACATCGCCGAGCAGTTATGGGGGAAAGGGCAGCACATGTTCCTGGACTTTTAAATATCTAACAGTTACTTTTTATCTATGTCCTGTGGCACTGTGTTTTGTTAATAAACTTTTTTTTCCCTCTTCACTTCTGCCGGAACATCTATTTCATATTGGTGGGAAAAAATTATCAAWTTTTTCACTTCAGAGAAAACATTTACTCTGTAACATTTTTATCTGAAAACATTGTCTCAAACCGAGACAGAGCTTCATAGTCATTTCTAGGAAAAACATCTCTCAAATAGTACCAAAGGTCATGTATGTGCTTAGAGGATGGACARGGAAAAGACTTCAATAATCTACTACAGAATGAAAAGCTCAAAGAGGAGCTTGTGTGGCTTTTAATCCACTACGAAGGTTTTAACAGTACTAGGAAGTAGTTAATGTCATCAGCAGATCTKAAGAGAATTCCACAGAAATGTGCCTTAGTGCCATTTTACCTACCAATAAACCTCTGGAGGGTAACACACAAATYGTAGTGAACTGAACTTGATACTGACTGTGATCTGTGCTTTCATAGTGAATTTCAGGGATGGTTGAAAGATGATCACACACACCCCACATGTCAGCTGGGGCTGTCTCCAGCCACATGCCTACCCCGAAAACAGAACACCTAAATCTGAGATGCTTTGGGATTTGGCCAGTCTCACAGCCTTCCTTCTCTCTGCCTTCTCTCATTTCTCTCATACTCCTATGAAGATGTATCAGGCAACCACATAAATGAAGTGATCAATTATCATAAAATATCTGAGAAAAACTCATGTTAAATTATAAAGAATCTTCTAATATAGCCAGTGAAGGGCCTGTGTTGCAACTTAATGCTGCCAATGCAGGAAAGTAACAGTAGACTGTGCAGTTATCAAGGGAGCACAATGTTCAAGTTCAATTATTGATTTTTCATTTATTCAGAAAAATAGCAAGCTAACGCTTGGGTTAGAGAAGAAGGGGTTATCCTTACAGTAAAAAAGTTGCTTCTTTCCAGATATAGGACAGGTTCATTTAAATCTCAATAAAGCGATTTTAAGAACTCTTACTGAAACATTAACTGTGCTTCTCCTTCAATTTTAAGTCATCATGTGGGATGATAATGTTCTTTAACTGGTAATACTAAGTCGTGGACCAGACAGAAAGCAAAAAGGAATTTCAGAAGGGTGATGGGAAAGAGGAATTTCATGTAGCATACAGCATTTAATCTTGCTCRGGAAGTTAATTTGAAACTTTTAGCTGGCTCCCATTCTCCCAATATCTGTTGGATATAGCTACCTTTTGTTTGCTGAGAAATGCGAAGTCTTTTCTTATTCCAACTGACCTACTTTATTCAAAGAGCTACTAATAAAATGTGCTACCATATTCTTAAGCTTCTTTGAAAAATTGTGATCATTTGTTCCATTCAGTATTTGCTACTACTAACCTCAGTACAGGTGTAGATATCCCTCCAATCTTTTGAGTTTCCATAGTTTTTTATTTGATTCATGCTCCTTAAATATTTTCTCAAGGTTAGGTGGGCATTTGTGCATTGTTTTCTGAATGGTCTGTGCTTTAAGCCAATATTGATGAATTGGCTTCCTACAGAAATACCTGAGGAAAAAAACAGAAAACACAAGACAAAACCATCAGTGATCAAACCATGAAAGGTGGGATCTTCTCAGACTGAAAATCTTAATAATAAAGATGAAAGTCTCAGCATTAGATATAGCTTAACCTTTATTTATGGACTCTTAATTCCTGTAGTCAGGAATAGCTGCTGGAATTCTACAGTCTGAATCATCAGTCCAGATAATCAGATTGATTTCCCTGGCATTAGCAAACATCTCATTATGGGGGAAAAAAAGAAAAGGRCAAATTAAAAGACTAGGAAACGCAGATCAAAATTTTTATACCCTACATCCCTAAAAAAAACRAAACAAAACAAAAATACCAAGCATGCCCCCTATTCTATCTCAACAGGACACCCATCTGGAAAGTCTTACCTTCCAGATGCTTTCCCGTACTATTTCACTGTCCTGCTAATCTCTGCAATTACCCCTAGGGGGAAAACAAAACACTACACAATTTATAGCCATGCTGTCGTTTTGAAGGATGGACAATAGAACGGGAAATAGATCTTGGACAACACTCAGTTTCAATATTATTACTATAGAAGCAGAAAACCAGAACTGGATCAAACTGAAATGAAATTGAATATAAAAACTATATCAAAATAAATTAATAAAAGCAAAAAGCATCTTACAGCAATGCAATAGTAAAGTGCATATGCAAAGAATAAAAATCCTAAATAAATGAGGAAGCCTACATATCTCTTCTCCTCAGTCAAAGTCTAATCACATGTATGTGGTCAAACCTGCAGACAATTTTTTTAACATAAAAGAATGAAGTCAATTAAACCAAAACACTACTACTATAGCATTTTAGAGAAGTCCACAAAAAGTTGTCCCCAGGCTTTGGCAGGATGACAAGGTTTCTCCTCACAGAAATCGTATGTACACTAAAGAATATAACAAGCCTGTCACTGAAGTAAGGAAGAGGCATTTTTTATTCAGTTACAGGAGGTTTGGACAGATTTGTAAATAAAGCCCTTTAAATTTGAACGTGACATCTCCTAGCCAGGTACATGAACRTTTGGTCTTTGAGAAGCTCAGCTGTCTATTTGGACCGCTTTTGATTCCACTGGAGTTCTGTTTTCAGAAGCTCTACTACCTGTGATATTTGTGACACACTGAATGGGTGTTCTGGTGCAGAGAAAACCTCCACCAGAAGCTGACAAAGTACTCACAATAAAAGATCTCAAAGGTACGAAAAAGGATGAGTTTTATTGACCTTGTTTTCTTTTGCTTGGTTGGTTTTAAGTGTGATTCAATTTACATAGTATCTCTTTCCAACTCAAGGTGCAACAGTACAAGCAAGCAAAGAGTTGATTCAAAACGCAAATGGAGTAATAACATACCTCTGGCATATCAAGGCAACGGGACACATATTGAGGAACAAAAAAAAGTATTTGGTTTTACAYGGCTGCCATTCTCTTATTGTTCGACTCATCTATGCTATAAATTGTAGCATTACTTGCAAAAGATTTGGGGGTGTTTTCAGATCATGCTATTTCATTCTTTCCAGGTGTGTTATCTAAAAAACCTCCTCATACCAGTGAAGTAAGAAGTAAAACCAGTGCAGCAAGTTCACATTAAAAAATTTAAAGTAGGGGTTTACACACCTTGATCTGTCCAGGTTGAAAGCGCCACATACATGTATTACAAACAGTAGAACAACGTATGTATCCTGCATGCTTACAAAACTACTCCTAAATTACTATGAATTTCTGCCCACCATCAATCTTTCTTCAAGATACAGAGAACATTTCAGTCATCAAACATTTCATTTCTATCTGCAAATATAAAAAGTGTGACATTTTAAAAATAAAGCAGAACACAGTCATAATCTTCACCTAGAAAATGTCTTCTTTTACATGGCATTCAGATAATTCAAAAGACATAACATACATTCAAGAAACAACAAAACAACAAAAGCATCTTCTAACTTATATGAGGAGTATCGACAAAAATTCCCTGAATTGTTTTTTAAGTTGTAAGTAACTGTTATAAATGGAGAGATGCTGYATTTCAGTAGAGCTAGAGAAGATAGGTTCATTTGCTGTAGTAACATTTACTACAGAAATATTTTTATTTGCTGTAGCATCACCCTCTATTGCACAAGGAGCTAACTAGTTAGACAGAACTACTTGCCTTTCTCACCACTATTTTGTCTCAGAGATTTTTCAAAGATCTCTGTTCATAAAATGTTTGTCAAAATGCACTTGCACATAGCACAAGGCAAAGAGGAGATGAGAGACAGATGCTTCTGCATGTTAGTGGGCGGGATGGGAAAGAAGCTGGGAAAGCAGCTTTGCATCCAATCCATTATAGCTATTTTCCTTTTAACCATCTAACAGCAAGTCATAAATTCACCCTAAACACATCAAATCCTCAACTTATGAAATGATGCATTATTGAAGTCACAGCAGGGAAGCCAACTCAGTTTAGAGGACATAAAAGACTAGTGCTAGAACAACCTTTTTCATCACAAGGTTATGGATTAAAAACAAAGGCAATGGTTTAATGTAGTGAGAAGATGCACAGTCAGAGAAAAAGCAGGTAAAAGCACCATTTGTATCTCTTTCCAGAATAAATTCCTTTCTAGAAAAATTCCTCTAAGATAGATATTCCACCTCAAAAACAGCAACACATACTAGCAACAGCTCARTCTCCTGGTTCCCTGCTCCAGCACGTAACCTTTACTCAACACACATTCTCAGCTACTCAAGAGTTCATCTCTTCGAATAAGTTGGGTGTCTAAGATCTAAAACTCACTTCCRCCTTTCATAGATTTTATTACTGAAACATTTATTAGCGTAAAACTGCAGCTGCAGTAAAGTTGGAAAGTAGAGAATCTTTTCGAATTWGTTCTTTTGTTATCTTAATATATGCTTTGCTGGTTGCAGTATTTGTCAAAAGTACACAAAATTGCAAGTTTCACCAACCTATAGTAACATATGCCAACTACACATATACACACGCAGGTACATTATGCTTATCTTACTGAAGTTACAATATATCAAAGCACAAAATGGAAGAGATTTTTTTATAGTACCACCATGGAACAGAACTAAGTGAGCAGAAAGTCCTTATCTAGCTTGATACAAGCTATTGAAAGTGAAATCAAAGGCGAAATGCATACAGCAAGGATGACTAAACCCATAAATGGCCCAAAATTATTTGTTTTATTACATGAATGCCAGAGACTACAATCATACTGAACAGGCTATTATAAAATCTCTTCGGTAACAAAGCTTTCTATCCAAGGTGACAAATAAAGCAAGCGCATAAATCACAGGGATATGTGGCTTAAGGCCGTTATCCCAGAGGATTACAGAATGGTTTTTGCATCCTCCCTCTTTGCTTTTCGTACCCTCCACCTTTGTTTTAATATTGTAGCTGTTACTAGCACTGCTATATGAAGGCTAGAGACCCCTATAGTTATGAATGGCAAACAGAAAAACCCTCTCACAGGTTAAGAGAGAGATTAGAGTAATCTTTAAAGGCACACTCAGTAAGCTTAACATAGGGGTGTGTTTTTAATGAGCTCTGCCAGTCTTGTCCAACTTTCATTTCAGAGCACTGTGCTCAGCATTATGGGCTACGGTAGCCGGGCACCACCAAAGACCCACAGTTCTTGTTGTGTTCATCATGGAGCAAATATCTAATGAATAAACTATTCAAAAGGTGCTCGAAAAATTCAAAGGTACCATTAAGGAAAACAATTGGCTAAACCAGGGAAATACAGCTTTAGAGTAAATAGGGAAGTACAGCAATCAGTAGCCACCATACATCTGGGGATGCAACAAGGAGTAATCAGTCTCAAATAAGAACACCACTTTCACTGACAATATTTAGAATATTCATTACAGACTGTGATGTGTAAACCTCTCACAGTACAAGTCAAAATGAAGACCTGAGTTAAGAAAATATGCTGAAATTATACAGCATACAAATTCAATTTTTAACCTGGACTCCAGCTACAAGGAGAAATCAACACTCTATGCAACCCTAAGCAGACAATTAAAAGATTTCACCAAGTGGCCCACAAATCTTACATAGGCCACCATGCCACCATACCTCTGTTAAAATTTGAACATCACTACAGACACACACACTTCTCAATTTCTAAGGATATTTGAAATGTAAGAATACATAMATAAAAACATCCCAAATATCTATCTTATCATCAGTGTGGGTTTGGTTTTTTTTTCCCCCCCAGTAAGAAACTGCAAACTTTAGGTCTCAAGGTAAGCGCTCATTCCTAGAGACACATTTGACTCAAAATGTGTATCAAAACTTGATTAATAAAAACATGAAGCAGTATAGTTAAAGGAAGGATCCAAACTCTAGAAGCAAAACCAGAAATGAGAGTGTCAGTGAAGAGGTGCAGGAGAAATACATACATGCTGTTCTAATCTACTAATACGAGAAAATTTGAATACTATTTACAAAACCTGAATGCACCACTTCCTGACTGATAAGCCACTATTCTCTTAAGGATGAGGAAGAAATAAATTGGTTGGAAATCTTCAGTCCTAAATTTCTGCCTCAGAATTATAGTACTTTTCACCAAGGCAGTTGCTGATTAAAGTAAAAAAGCTTAGCAAAGCTGAGCAGTAATTAAGAGGCTTCAATTACAACACAATTTCACATTTGTACAGGAAGAAATATGCTTCTTATAACATGGAACTTCACATGAAAGACACGGAGATATAACATCATCTAAGCCTTTTATCTGTCCTGTGAAGTAATCCACCACCTCCTATAGTAAGTAAATATGYACTTTGTCCTGGTTTCAGCGAGGATGGGGTTAATTATTGCAGTAGCCAGGAGAGGCATAGCTGGGACCTGGGGCTTATTCTGTACCACCTCAGGTAATTTTTCCRGGGATGGAGGAAGGGGTCCTTTCCAGGGTTGCATAGCATGGCAGAGGGAGCAGACAGGTATTGTTGGGGATTTTCCACGTGGTGAGCAACTTCATGTGACTCA